CCATGACCAGCTAATTTTTTGTATTTTTAGTAGAAACGGGGTTTCACCATGTTGAACAGCATGGTCTCGACCTGTTGACCTCGTGATCCACCCGCCTCGGCTTCCCAAAGTGCTGGGATTATAGGCTTGAGCCACCATGCCCGGGGCAAATATTTTTTAAAAGTATATGCATGTCTTGCAGAAACCTACGTAGTTTCTTACATGAATCTCATATCATCAAAATATTTTCTTTATAATTAGCCCCTGAAACAGAGGTCCCTCTTCTTGAGTATATGGATGGGCTTCAAGGGTGAAAGTACCTGAGCTATGTACAATTTGTATGTGAGTGTGTCTGTGTGTGTATAAGTGTGCATGTTTTCATTTTTCTGGAGAGTGGCTCTATAGTTCAGATCATATTTTTCAAAGGTTAACATAGCAAATGCCCCTCGTGCGCTCCTCCAAATCCCAAGCCCCATCTTGTACCTCATCACTTCTCTAGTCCAAGCTCTGCACTTGTTTTTATCAGCTTTCTGCTTGTGCAACCTAAAAACACTTCACCTTAGGTCACACTTCTATGTCTTTCATTTTTCCCTACCACCATCAGTACCACTTTGGCATTCAGATCCATGCGCCACTGCTAACCAATAGGTATCAGGAGCCAACACAAAGATTCTTCCCTGTTTTATCTCCAAAGGAAAAGTTCTGATTTCCATGTCATGACATTTCTAAGAAGACCTTTTAGGCTTCAAGCATCATCAACTAAGAATACATTTTTGTGTCAAGTTTCTCTTTGTTCCTGCTTCATGTCTCTCATTCCACTCTTGCTTCCAGCAGTCACATTCTCAAATAAGTGATTGGCACACAAGCCTCTGTCCCAAGCTAAGACATCTAATATCATGGAAAGTCTTAGGTTCACTATCCAAGAACCTACACAGTTTCCCACTTGGGTACCATATAGTCCAAAGGTCTTGTTTAACAGGACCCAATAATTGTGGCATCTGAATTTACCTATAATGTATCCTTAGTGTGACCTGGTAAAACCTCCTCTCTAATTTAACTTTGAGGTTTATAAAAAGTCTAAAGCAAATTTTCTCTCTGGTTTACAACTGTAATCCCAACACTTTGACCAGTCAAGGCAGGTGGATCACTTAAATTCAGGAGTTTGAGAAAACCCTGGCCAACATGGTGAAGCCCTGTCTCTACAAAAATACAAAAATTAGCTGGGTGTGGTGGCAGGTGCCTGAAGTCCCAGCTACCCAGGAGGTTGAGGCAGGAGAATAGCTTGAACCCGGGAGGCAGAGGTTGCAGTGAGCTAAGATTGCACAACTGCATTCCAGCCTGGATGACAAGCAAGACTCCATCTCAAAAAAGAAAAAAAAAATTTCTCTGAGTGATACAGAAATACTCTAATGATCATGGCACTAAGGAACCTAGCTTGTCTACAGTTAACCATTGCCCATGGCCTTTTCTTCACCTTATTTCTCTATAACCATACTGTATTCATTCCCTACTGCTTTATGAAATATGTCTCTTCAGGAATGTGGTACACAAAATTGTAAGATGATGCCAAGTGACACCACACCCTTGTATAACTCTCTCCTCTTCAGTGTAGGCAGGATTTGTGGATATGATGGGATATCATTCCCTGATTATGCTTATGGTGAAGATAGAAGGATTTTGCAGATGTTATCAAAGGCCCCCATCAATTGACCTTGAATTAGTCACAGGGAGATTTCCCTCGGTGGGTCTGATTTATCAAGAACCCTTAAAAGAGGATGGAGGATTTTCCTAAGCTAAGAGACTCTCTCCTACTACTCTTGAAGAAGAAGTCAATTTGAGTTTTACAGCTTTAAGGAAATGAATTGTGCCAAAACTACGTGAGTTTGGAAGAGGGCCCTGAGCTTAGATGAGACTATGCCTTGGCCAATATTGATTGCAGCTTTGTGAGACCCTGGGGAGAGAGCCCAGCTAGGCTCTACCCAGACTCCAGGACCCACAGAAACTATGAAATAATAATTGTGTGTTGCTTTAAGCTATTAAGTTTGTGACAACTAGATACATGGCCATAGAAAACTAATACACTGCACTTGTCACATAATTTTTGTTTACATTAATGCTTCATGCAGGCTAAACATTCCTAAAGGGCAGAGACTATGTTCTTTTTATCTTGGTTTCACCAATATCTAGCAAAATGCTTATGTATAGTAAATATTTAATAAACCTTTGATTAATAAATGACTGATGATTAATATTCTGAAATGAAAAGTATAAAAATATCCATTTAGATCGTTGTAGTGCCTTTTCATATTAACTCTTTGAAATTTCAAAATCTCAGCATGTCTTGGAAAATTGTATAAAGTACTTTCAATATTCAAACTTCTTTCATGTGCATAATCTTATTTTAAGCTCTGTTAATATTACCCATGGCAAACGAAGGTGCTAGATCCCTGGGGGCCTTGACAATTTTAAGAAACATCCCCAGGCCATACTTTAGTACTATAGTATTGCTCACCAAAATTAATGGAGCAGATCTTTACAGAAATCTAAGACTCTGGTGTGACCTTGCCAAATTGGTGTCAGATGCTCAGGATGGAAAACTGAAGGAAATTTAAATCTTGAATATAAATTTCTTAGTCTTAAAAAGGGATAAAACAGCATACGTAAGTCTACCATGCTGAATTTTCCAGATGTTAATGTTTAATGCTTAATCTCTCTTCGTGGCTCAGTAAACATTGAAAAACCTGAATATTTCTAATGTACCTAAAAGTACTTTGATTAAAGATATTAGAGAAATACAAAAATCTGAGCTTCTAATAAGAAAATGACAGAATTGTCTAAAAAATGAAAAGCATTCATCAAGTGAGAGCATAGATATTTTAAGAAGATAGTACAAATATGATTTTACATGGAGAGAGGCTTTATTTCTAAAGCCCCCAACCAAAATTAATCACTGGAAATTGATTGATTTTTTTTTGTATCTGTTATTCTTGCTCTTTCTTGAAGAGGAGATAACTGAAGATCAATCTAACTGTACAGATGATAGAAAAGAGAATAAATAAACCATCTTTTTAATAAATATGGTGAGTTTGGACTTTCAGACATAGAAACTATACCCTTGGATATAGCAAGTTCCATATTTTCTTTCTTTAATTAAAAAAGTATTTGAAATTATACTTTGATACATTGGTTTGGCTGTGATTACAGAATTAACTAGTTAAGAAATAACTATCTCATCCATTTTGAAAGCTTGTCATTATAGTTCTGTTGAAGCCTCAAACCCCTGGGCATAAATGCAATACTGAGATCAGAGGTAAAATTCTCAAAAGAAAAAAAAATGCTATTTTGTAAGTGAGAGATAAAAAGTTATTACAGGCTTACCCTTCCTCATGTCAATTTCTTAAATGTGAAAAATATCCAATGAACCCATTAAATACATTTTGACAGAGTAACAGCAGGAGGCTTGTTGACCTTTCACCTCGTATTGATTTCCTCTTCAGTTGTTTTCCTTGGTGATTTCCACTTTTCCTGCATATATTTTGCCCCCCAGTCCACTCTCCACATGCCACTCCTGTAATCACTTGCAATGGAAACCCACACAGAGCCCTGAGCTGCACTGACACTTTGGGAGAACCTTGAAAATAAAGCAGCCACATCACTCGTGTCTATCAATAAGTCCTCAATTGTCAAATATTTGTAAAACATAGACACAATTGCCATCTCAATGATGCAACTGATCCCATAAACACTTGTGTGAATCAAAATGATTATTATTATTTATTCATATAAACATCAAGTCCACGAGAGTTGATTAGTGAGCCAATCTAGTTATTACACCAAAATGGAGACTAAAGGAATAGAAAGGAGGTATAGAGCAACCTTCTCCCAACCTAGTGATAGAAAAATCCTATGTATATAAAACAACCAGGAAAAAAATCTCCTGGTAGAAACAATTAATCAGGGTGTCATTTATAGGTGCCAGGGAGTTGAAATTAAGTAAGGAATCTGAATGAGCTTACTTAACCCTAAAAGAATAAAGAATAAAGCTAGAAGAGGCTAGAGTTGTTCTGATTTTGTTTTCTAAAAAGCATGATGATGTCTCACATCTGTTTTCAGTAAAGAATAGTCAGGGGATATTCAGCAGTAGATGTTAATAAGCAGAGTCAGACTCAGTAACCCTGCAACCAAAGCTGTAGTGAAAGACATTGATGGCCAGAATAGGGAGGGAAGGACATGTGAGTCATAAAAGTACTTTAAAAATCTGCATCTGTTATCTGCAACGTAGAGTAAATCTCCAAAAGGAGTATTAGTCAAAATTAAACCTTTGGGGCCTCATGAGAATCATATTCAAATTTTGCACCCTTGTTGGTTTTGTGTGTTATCTTGTTGAGGTTGTGGACATTCTTCTCCAACACCTGGCTCTCTTTCTGGTTTCCTTTATTCAATGATTTTAAAACAGCTCACCAGCCTCCTCACTCCATGAAAAGCAAAGCCATTCCTCATAGCAGTAATATGCATTACAAGGTTGGTTGAAGATTTCTTATGGAGAAGAAAGCACATGTTCATATCAGAAAGAAACTCATACAAACTCAGAGGCATTTACGCTCTTGCCTGGGTCCCTCTTTGGCTGTTAGTCATAGGGGCTTCTTCTCTCCCTTCCTTTTGTGCATGCAGTGTTCATGGCCTCATGTCTGCTTCCTGGCTCATCTGTCTTCTTCCTACATCTCTAGGATATCTGTCTTCTTTTTATGCAAATCACCTCAGCTCTGACTCAGCTCCAGGCTGTCATGCCAACCAGCCTTCCCCACTGTCAAATAAAGAAAAAATGGAAAAGTAATTTTTGTTCCTATACCATGGCATCCATCCAGGGGAAATAAGATGATCATTGAGGAGATGAAACAATCCCTTCCCTATGCTTTGTGTGTCATCTGGAATCTCATCCACCTTGCCTTTGATGAATTTGGGCCCCTTTCCTCATCATCAAGGATCAGAACTACAAGTCACATTTTGTGGGACTTGAGGCCCTCAGGTCTCATAAAATGGCAGTAAAGGCAGTAGGAAATACAATGAGAACATCCCATGGACCAAATGGGCTTGATAAGATGATAATGGATAAGGATGGCAATTTAACTGTAACTAATGATGACACCACCACCGTAAGCATGACGGATGTTGATCATCAGATTGCCAAACTGATGGTGGAACTGTCCAAGTCTCAAGATGATGAAATTGGAGATGGAAACACAGGAATGGTTGTCCTGGCTGGCACCTTGTTAGAAGAAGCTCAGCAGTTGCTAGACTAAGGCATTCACCCAATCAGAGTAGCTGATGTCTATGAGTAGGCTGTCCACGTTGCTACTGAACACCTGGACAAGATCAGCAATAGCATCCTTGTTTACATAAAGGACACCAAACCACTGATTCGGACTGCAAAAACCATGCTGGGCTCTGAAGTGGTCAACAGTTGTCACTGACAAATGGCTGAGATTGCTGTGAATGCCTTCCTTACTGTAGCAGATATGGAGCAGAGAGATGTTGACTTTGAGCTTATCAAAGTAGAAGGCAAAGTGGGCAGCAGACTGGAGGACACTACATTGATTAAGGGGGTGATTGTGGACAAGGATTTCAGTCACCCACAGATACTGAAAGAAGTGGAAGATGCTAAGATTGCAATCTTCACATGACCATTTGTGCCACCCAAACCAAAAACAAAGCATAAGTCGGATATGACCTCCGTAGAAGATTATAAATCCTTCAGAAATATGAAAAGAAGAAATTTGAAGAGATAATTCAACAAATTAAAGAGACTGGTGCTAACCTAGCCATTTGTCAGTGGGGCTTTGATGATGAAGCAAATCACTTACTTCTTCAGAACAACTGGCCTGCGGTTCGCTGGGTAGGAGGACCTGAAATTGAGCTGATTGCCATTGCAGCAGGAGGGTGCATCATCCCCAGGTTCTCAGAGCTCGCATCTGAGAAGCTGGGCTTTTCTGGTCTTGTACAGGAAATCTCACTTGGGACAACTACAGATAAAGTGCTGGTCATCGAGCAGTGTAAGAACTCCAGAGTTGTAACGATTTTTATTAGAAGAGGAAATAAGATGATCATTGAGGAGATGAAACAATCCCTTCCCTATGCTTTGTGTGTCATCTGGAACCTCATCCACTATAATCACATGGTGTACAGAAGAGGGACTGTTGAGATATCCTGTACGCTGGCAGTTAGCCAAGAGGTGGGTAAGTGCCCATCTTAGAACAGTACATCATGAGAGAGTTTGACAAAGTGCTGGAGGTCATCCCCATAACCCTGTCTGAAAACAGTGGCATGAATCCCATCCAGACTATGACCAAAGTCCAAGCCAGACAAGTGAAGGAGATAAATCCTGCTGTTGGCGTCAACTGTTTGCACAAGGGGACAAATGACATGAAGCAACAGCATGTCATAGAAAGCTTGATTGGCAAAAGGCAGAAGATATCTCTTGCAACACAAATGGTTAGAATGAGCTTGGAGATTGACAACATTTGTAAGCCGGGAGAATCTGAAGAATGAAGACATTGAGAATACTATGTAGTAAGATCCACTACTGTGATTAAATAAATGGATGTGTTGTCATGCATCTACAGTTATGTTTATTATTACATCCTATTTCAGACACTGTAGATGGTGTAATAAAAGTAGCTGTTTGGCACCCAGAGTTTCACTTGTTCAAAGCCATGTAATTGTGGAGGTACTATCTCAACATGCTTTTGTATTCATTATATCAAAGGAATCTCTTTAAACAAACAAAAAAGAAAAAGTTACCAGGATCCACCTGCTTTCTAAATCAATGGAAGATTGCACATTAAGGGTAATAATGTCTTGGCCCAAATATTTCCCTGTCACATAAAGTTTGGACTCATGGAGAGATACAAGTGAGTTAGCCTTAATACAGAAAATGCAATGGGATGGAAGGTATTCTTCATATTCATAATCCATTCCTTTTCCTATTTCTTCAACAAATACCCCAAAGTTTCCCTTTGCTTCACAAACCCCTATTATGAACTGAATGTTTATGCCCCACCCAACCCTTAACTCCCAATGGGACTGTATTTGGAGATACTGTCTGTGAGGAGGTGATAAATGTCAAATGAGGTCATAAGGTAGGGCCCTGATACAATAGGGCTGGAGTGTGAATGAAGAAGAGACATCAAAGCTCCCTCTGTCTGCCATGTGTGGACACACAAGAAAGCGACCATCTGCCAGAGACCTGGCTGGCACCTTGATCATTGACTTCTAGCCTCCAGAAGACCTCTTCTCTTCCATTTGTGTGTGCAGTGTCTATGGCCTCTTTATGTCTGTTTCCTGGTTCATCTGTCTTGAAAGATGAGCCAGTAAGCAGACATAAGAAACAAAATTTCTGTTGATGAAGTCAACTAGTTTGTGGTATTTTGTCATAGCTGCTTGAGCAGACTAATGCAATCTCCTACTCCACAATCTCTCCATTCACGGTTAGCAGATAAGCTTGTGTCTCCCTCCAGTGCAAAAATTGAAGCCTTTAAGTATTAATTTCTCAAGCTTCCTCTGACACTACCTACAAAAGTCTCTCCTTTCACCTGTTCTTTCCAGCTTCCCCCCATCTCAGTGGAAGAATTAAAAACACACCTGTTCGAGGCACATTCCCTCACTTTGCATTGGGATCCATCCCCTCTCACCTTCGAGCTGATAGCGCTCTCCTGCTTCAAGCCCTCCCATACCCACCCTTTGCACCTTAAATCAAATTCAAACTTCTCAATGTGGACTACAAGGCACTGTGATCTCACCCCTTGACTAGTCCCCTGACCTCACTTCCCACCATAATGTAGTTCTTGAATCACTGTGGCTTCTTTCTTTGTCCCAATCACACGAAGCTCATGTCTACCCCATATGCATACACTAGTTTTCATTCTATCTAGAATGCTCTTCCCCAGAGCCTCCATGGCTAGCTCTTTGATTTTATTTAAGTCTCAGCTCAAATGTCAGCCCTTTGAAAAGAATATCTAATATAAAGCCTTCCTATATAGCAAGACATAAAATGTAGGCCTTCCATTCTCATCACATAAGTCTCAAATTACTTTTTATTTCTCTGAAATGCCTATTGTCCTTTATTTTATTGGCTATCTTCACCCAATGGAGTGTTAACTCCAAGAAAACAAACATCTTGTCTATCATTCACTTCTATGCCCTCAGTCTCCTAAGGCAATGCCTGGTACCAGTATGGCTTCTGAAATCACTAGTGAGCCCATCATTGCCTCTCTCCTGTATTCCCAGATGGTCATCCCTGTGTCGCTTATTTCTCAGCATAAAAACATACTCAAACATTTCCCATTCTAAAGGCAAAAATTCCCATCTGACCACACATCTATTAGCTGCCTGGCTATTTCCTTCCCATCGTGGCCATGCTTCTTTAATGAGGACCCTAAGCCACTTATCTCCACCTTTTCCATACGCTTTCACTTCACAACCCACTATAAACTGGCTTTACTATCAACCCACCCACCCACCCAGAAATCTTTTACTGAGATTATAAGTGACCATCGGATTGCCGTATCCAAGAGATCCTGTTCTTCCCTCATCCTGCTGGACCACGTGGGACATTTGATTTGCTTCACTATCCTCTTTTTTCCTAAGACTCTCTCCTTCAACCTTATGAAGCCACATTCTCTCTAGCATTTCTTTATTTACTTTATTGACTTTTACTTTTCCTGCTTGGGTGTCTTTTCCACCACACTTTAGGGAATGCAGTTCTAGTGCTTCTAGGGGGCAGGAGGAAACGTACACGTATAAAAAATCTATAGGTGATAAACAGGAAGTGGTGGGGACTGTGGCAGAGTGCCTTATCCTTTCCAGAAGCCATTCATGTTCAAGTTTTTAAAACTGTGTGTATGTATATGTGTATTGTGTGTGTGTATGTGTGTGTGTGTGTGTGTGTGTGTGTGTGTGTGTGTGTTTCTTTTTTCTTTTTTTGGGTCAGAGTCTCGCTCTGCCACCCAGTCTGGAATGCAGTGGTATGAACTTTGCTCACTACAACCTCCGCCTCCAGGATTCAAGTGGTTCTCCTGCCTCAGCTTTCCGAGTCACTGGGATTACAGGCACGCACCACCATGCCCAGCTCATTTTTGTATTTTTAGTAGAGAAGGCATTATACCAGTTGGCTAGGCTGGTCTTGAACTCCTGACCTCAAGTGATCCACCTGCCTTGGCCTCCTAAAGTGCTGAGGATTACAGGTGTGAGCCAGCATGCCCAGCCGCAAAGGTATAGTTTTGAGTAAAAAGAGCAAGTTACAGACAAAAAATAGGAAACAGCTAGGCATGGTGGCTCAGTCCTGTAATCCTAGCACTTTGGGAAGCTGAGGTGGGAAGATCGCTGGAGCCCAGGAGGTCGAGGCTGCAGTGAGCCATGTTTGCACCACTGCCCTCCAGCTTGAGGGACAGAGTAAGACCCTGCCTCAAGATAAATAAAAATTAAAAAACCAAAACCTAAGTATGACGATTGGGTTTTCATGCTATTGTATGATATGTGCCTTCCTTAAAACTTGTTATACCATCACATCACCCATCTGATGCGAAAAAGAAAAAATAAAACCCAGAAACTCAAACCCAAAAAAAAAAAAAAAAAACCAACTGTGTTAGCCAGGCATGGTGGCTCATGCCTGTGATCCCAGAACTTTGGGAGGCCAAGGCAAGAGGATCACTTGAGCCCAGCAGTTCGAGACCAGCCTGGGAACCTGGAGAAACCCCATCTCTACAAGAAATACAAAAGTTAGCTGGGCGTAATGGTGCATGCCTGCAGTCCCAGCTACTCAGGAGGTTAAGGGAGGAAGATCACTTGGGCCTGAAAGGTCAAGGCCGCAGTGAGCCACCATCATGCCACTGCACTCCAGGCAAGACCCTAACTCAAAAAAAAAAAAAAATTGATGTTAGCCAAATTGTATCTGTGGGCAAAGGGAGACCACTGATTTGTAGCCTGTGCATTAAACATTGGTGTTTCTTGAGGCTTTTCCTTGGGCTTATTATTTCTTCTACACATACTCTAATTTGATAGCCTCACCCACAACTACAACCTCAAATACCACTGATACTTTGCCAATTCCAGAGCCTCTATAGAGCTTAGAGATTATGACATAGGTAGAAGATCATAAATATATGAATTTGAGTCCCTTCTCAGCCATATGCCAGATCTGCAGCATTAGGTAAATAACTTCACTCTAAGCCTCAGTTTCCTTATATGTAAAATTAGGACGACAGTAGATATTCTTATGAGTCTTCCGAAGATAAAATTCATACCTGTAAAATGCTTAACACAGTATGTAGCACACAGTAAGTGCTCAGTGAAAGTTAGCTCTTTGGTTGAACCTCTCTACGGAGAAGGCCAAAAGACAATTCGAATTCAACATTTCAAATCCACAATTATCGTTCCTCCACAGTTTGATCCTTGCATTACATACACCAGCATTATGCAGTGTCCAGGCCAGAAGCTAGGAATCATTCTAGAGTTCTTCTTTTCCAGCTCTGCCCCATCCCACCCGGATGTTTTTCTCTAAGAGGCCCAGGCATTTGGCCTGCATGACAGCTTATCAACTCCATACCCTTTCCTTCAGTTCTACCATACCTAGTCTTTGCTTTTTCCAGCTTTACTGAGGAATAATGGGCAAATATGGTGAACAACATGATGTTTTGATATAAGTATTCATTATAAAATAATTACCATAATCAAGCTAATTAACATAATCATCACTTCATATAGTTATCTCCCTTTTGTGTGTTTGTGATGAGAACATTTAAGATCTGCTTTCTTAGCAATTTTCAAGTATACAATGCATTATATTAGCTGTGGTCACTATGCTATACAAGAGATCTCCAGAGCTTATCCATCCTGTCTAACTGACACTCTGTACTTTTAGAACAATAACTCTCCTTCCCCTCCATCTGGCCTCTGGTACCACCACTTACTTTTTTCAGATTGCATACATTAAGGATATCATGAAGCATTTGTCTTTCTGTGCCTGGTTTATTTTACTTAGCCTAATGTCCTCCAGGTTCATCCATGTTGTCACAAAATGGCAGATTTCCTTCATTGTGTGTGTGTGTGTGTATGTGTGTATACATACACACACACACATACACAATGGAATATTGTGTATATATATATATATACACAATGGAATATATATATACACTCACACACACAATGGAATATTATTCAGCTTCACACACAATAGAATAATATATGTATATACATATATGTGTGTCACCTTTTTGGGTTGGTAATATTCTGTTATGTGTCTGTGTAGAATATTAACGACCAAAAAATATGATATGCACACACACACACACACACATATATATATGTGTGATACATATATATATGTATCACATATATATATATGTGTGATATATATATATGTATCACATATATATATGTGTGATATATATATATATGTATCACATATATATATGTGTGATATATATATATATATGTATCACATATATATATGTGTGATATATATATATATATGTATCACATATATATCTTTTGGTCCATTTGTTGAAGGATACATAGGTTGATTCTTTATTTTGGCTATAGTGAATAATGTTGCATTGAACATGGAAATATAGATATCTCTTTGACATTGACTTCATTTCCATTGAACATATAATCTGTAGGATATGGTTGGATCAAATAGTAGTTCCATTTCTAATTTTTAAGAATTCTCTGTAGTGTTTTCCATAATGGCTGTACTAATTTACAGTCCCACCAACAGTGTGCAAGAGTTCCCTT